GACTCCACTTCAGACTGGATTTTGATCTTGATATTCCCCTCTCCCGTCTCTCCCCATTGGGTCATTCTGGTTTCACAGGGGTCTAATCGGAGCACCATTGACCACTGTATAGCCTGGTCTCTCCAGGAGCCAATCAGGGACCAGGGGGCTTTGCTGAATTGTCACAATATGTTTGTAACCCTGTCGGTATTTCCATAGTTTTGGGGGCATTTTTTAATTCAAAGAAATAATTCTACATGAAGAGAGATGCTGAGACCAAGGCATATCTGCTTCCAGTCAAAGCGGTATCAAATGCCAGCGGAGAGGGCGGCCCTTATTTTAGGGCAAGGGGGTGGGGAGGAGCAAAGACCAGTAGTGAATGTACCAACCATTTAAAGCCAAAGTGCCAGGGTGGCTGGATTCTTTAAGAGGTGCCAGGGTCTGGTCTATCCAGGATGAGCTTTTAAAGGAGGAACCCGCCTGTAATTAATCGCCTTTGTGGCTGGTGGGCACTGTTGATAAATTATAGCATTGCATACTTCGCTATGCTTTGGTTTGTTATGAAATATATAGAACAGCCAAACTCACCGATATCAATCAGGTTTATTACAGAAAGTCAATGATGGCATCGTAAAGGCCAAAAAGTTCAATAAGCTACCGTGACAGAACGCACCCCTGTATTCACACCTGGTACACTATTGTAAAAATCTTTGTACAAAAGACGCCTGCTGGAGGTACCATGTGAAAAGTAAAACTTGCTGGTCATTAATGTCACGGTAAAATGTATGTAGCAACATTATATGTAAAGTCGTGAACATAAGCCAAAATCAATACGATGTGTTTACCGGACACATCTGGGGACTGGGTACGCCTGTTTCTCAAACACAAAAGACAAGTTGACATCCCAGCCAGGTGTCATCACCTGTCAAGCGGCCGTTCTTTGGCAAGGAAGCAGGGCAGGAAAGTGCAGATGTGATCTTAGCAAACGACAGCGTGAATCCTCTCCCACACAAGACTCTGTGTCTCCTTGCTCTCAGCTGGAAAGAGCTTTTAACCAGGGGTCACACTCAGGAAAATGGTTTTCCAAGGGTGACTGAGCTATAAAAGGGGCAAAAAACATCTCAAATGATCTCTTCTTGTCTATCTCTCTCTTTCACCTAAGAGGACAAAAGAAAACAGCCATCGGACCTCGGGAGCAGATCACGTCCTGGAACTTGGTCGGCAAAGCTACTGAAAACCTGGGGTAAGAATTTTACCTTGAACCACGTCTAGTTTGTTGAATACTAGAAAGCGTTTTATGTTTTTGTCTTGTAACCATTTCTGACTATAACTTGTACTTTCTTAAAATCTCTCTTTGTAGTTAAATGAACTTGTTTTGTTATTTAATCACAATTCATCTAGCATTCTGAATCGTGTGGGGAACTCCATTTAAGGCGTTGTAGCTTGATGTCCTCACAGAGGCGACGGACCGAATATATCTGGACAGTGCGGAACAGGCATTTCTGTGGGGAAATCCGGGACCGGGAGTGAGTCGGAGTCACCGTGCACATAGTGATCGAAGCTGCCGGAAGCCAGAGCGTAGCCGCTTTTTGCTAACAGGCCACCGGGGTCAGAATTGCTGGACCAGGGCCATGGCGATACAGACGCTCAGGGTGTGACCTGCAAGTCGTTTGGCTGTTTGTGAGCGGCCCTGTTCGGGAGCCACAGCAGAAAGGCATTGTGAGGCACCCCACGTCGCAGAGGAGGTCGTGACACGGCCACTGACCGGTCTGGACCGCACCCCAAAATGTCTCAGACAGCAGTTTCTGGGAAGCCGTCTCACGTGGCATTGTTGAACTCACCGTACGCAGAGGGTTTGCTCCCAAAATTTCACGCTAGCAGCATTTGTAGGATGATTTTAAAGTTATAAAACTTTTCACATGTCACTTTGTCCCAGTCCTTCCACTTGTTCTAAACCTTTCATTCTCCTTGTTTTGGATACTAGCATTCCAGGTACTGGTCCCCGAAGGAACTTCTGTGACTTGTCTCGGGGCAAAATACAAACGTATTTGGATTTTTGACAAGTGACCTATCTACTTATGTCAAAGGTCAAGCAGTACTATGGCAGAATGTAGCTTACCTCCTTCGTGCCGCCTGGGCGCTCAGACCGGCCTGCCTGTCTGCCTGCCTGCCTTCTGCTTACAACCAGAGCCATCCCAGGGCTGCGGCAATCCACCTCCTGAGACCAGGGGGTTATTTGTTTGATGGGTTAACAAAGAGCTCGGTGGCTAGTCACAAATCCCCATGTTGACTCATTGCCGCCGCTTTGGTGTCTGTGTCACAGGAATATTTTAATGGCAACTGGCAAGGGGGTGCAGAAGGGTTACAAAAATCTCCTGAGTCTGCTATGAACATTGTGGTTCTCCCACAGAATCTCTGGTGAGGTCTCACCTGAAAGCGGTGGACATGCTAGTCATCTATAGTGTTGTCAAATGGTGTACAGATACTATGTGAGAAGTTACGTATATATACTGAAAATATGTGTTTAAACTCTGTAAAGTGTATCTCTCTGTTGGGATGTAAATGTAGCATTGTAAAATAGCAGAATGCAGGCCTGTTTACATACGAAGTCAACTGTTAATAAAGAGATGTGAAGTCAACAGAAAAGGAGCAAGCAGGCAAAAACAAGCCCGGGGGATTAGCCTGCCTTGGAGGAAAGACAATGAACGTCGGGGGTATATATAGAAGGTACAGAAGACACTCCTTCATCCTGCATCTGGGAAGCGAATGGACAGCATGGGTCGCAGGCAGCATCGGTTGAAAACGCCGCAGAGGACTTTGGGTGAGAGAACTGTCTTCAGCCAGGAGGTTAACCTGCTGGTTTTACTAAGAGTCTAGAAAGTGTGCTATGATTTTGGTTATTTAGGTAATGACTTGTTTCCAATATTTTTATTACATTGTTCTTCAATAATAAATGTATTCTCATTTGTCACTAATCTCAGTGCCTGTGGTTAAGCCAAGTGATGGGCCTGAGTTGAATCTGACAAACCCATATGTACTATTTATTTGAATTTGAGAAAGTGTTCAGTGGCACAGGCTGGGTGTATGTACCTAGCTCTTCCTGTCCAATGTGCGTGTAACTAGAGGCTGGTGGTGTAAGAGAGTGGCTCCACAGCAAAGACTGCCTTAAAGAGCGGGGGAAGTGAGGCGCCACCTGACCCAGGAGCCCGATATGTGTGTGCGGGTGCAGGCACTGGTCCCTAGTTGAACGTAATGAGCCCTGCTCTCAGTGTGTACTACACTACCCTTCCATATGTCTTCTGTGCCCCATAGTGAACTGTACCCTTTTCTGAAATGGGACAGAGGGTTACTTATTGCTGGCCTAAGGCCCGTGCAGGTGTGTGCTTCTTTCTTTTTTTGGGGGGGGGAGGAGAAGGGCTGTTGTCGTTTTGTTCGGTATCTCTGCAGCGCTTGGCTGAGGGAGCAGGTTCAGATGCACATTAAGGACGCCCTGCCTGTGCAGTCTCGGGGGGAAGCAGCAGTCTAGCACACAATAAACCCGCTGGCACAGGTGAGCAGGGGCGGGGAACAAGCAAGCGAGTTGGCCTCTTTCGGCGGAGGGCGACACACGCTGCAGCGTAATAAACCAGCGGCTCTAGCGGGGGAGCCCCGCCCCGCCCCCAGCACTAGTCCACTCCGCGTCCCGCACCTCAATCAGGGCCCGGCGCCACCTGGCGCTCTGCACGGCGCATGCGCATTTGGAAACAGCGTTCCCATTGGCTGGGGACGCGACGGCGGGGGTACAAAGCCGGAAGCGGCTCACGCGCGAGAGAGCGGCGGCTGCTCCAGCATCCAGAGCAAGGGAGAGGCTAGAGCGGCGTGTGTCCCCCGCCGGGGCTCCGACAGCGCCCGGCCCGGGCTCGATAGGCAGCCCCCCCCCCCCCCCCCGGGGCCCACGGAACGGGTAAGGTATGTACCGGTCCCCTGCGCTGGGGAGCCGGGCGGTGCCTTGCCTAGCCTAGGTTAGGCTGGGCCGGGGTGTAGACTGCTTTTGACATGAGTTAAAACGTGGCAAAGGGGGTGAATTGGAGCAGGAGTGGAAATTTACTGGTCTGGGTGGGGGTAGGCAATGCAGCTTTTATTTCCCCTCTCACAGGTATCCCAATGCCTGCTGAGGCTATGTCTACACTTCAAATTCATCTTGATGAGGGGATTACATCCCTCAGCCAGCAAGTTAGAGCACTTAATCCCTGAAATTTATATCCCAGTAAAAACAATGTTTTTACACCTGGGATACCTATTTGGTACCCAGCTTAATTTGGAATGGGGGGGGGGGGCTGATGGGTATCATAGCATTCCAAACCTTAAGACCTACTGAGGGACTGTGAAGTATCAGAGGAGTAGCCCTGTTAGTCTGAATCTGTAAAAAGCAACAGAGGGTCCTGTGGCCCCTTTGAGACTAACAAAAGTATTGGGAGCATAAGCTTTCGTGGGTTGTCATAACTATAAAGGGAAGGGTAACAGCTGTCCTGTGTGCAGTACTATAAAATCCCTCCTGCCTAGAGACTCCAAGTAACCTGGCTGGCATCTGACCTAAAGGACCAGTAAGGGGAAGGGGACAGGATACTTTCAGATCTTTGGGGGGGACGGCTTTTGTTTGTGTTGAGTGAGTTTGATCCAGGTTCTCCCCATCTTTCTAAACAAGTCAAGTCTCTCCTATTTCAAACATGTAAGTAAATAGCCAGGCAAGGCATGTTAGTTTTCCTTTGTTTTCTCAACTTGTAAATGTACCTTTTACTAGCGTGTTTAATCTTTGTTTGCTGTACTTTGATCCTGAGACTAGAGGGGAGTCCTCTGAGCTCTGTAAGGTTACTTTCTATACTGATTTTACAGAGATGATTTTTACTTTTTTCTTTAATTAAAAGCCTTCTTTTTAAGATTAAGAAATTGATTTTTTTCCCTTGTTTTTAATTGGGAAATGGTGGCAGTGGAACCGGAACCAGAGCTAAGCTGGTAGTTAAGCTTAGAAGTTTTCATGCAGGCCTCTACATTTGATTTGTACCCTAAAGTTCAAAGTGGGGATACAGCCTTGACATGGGTAAGAACCTCACTTCTTCAGGGACTGTGTCTGTGTTTAATCCAACCTGTATGCATGTAACATTTATTGACCACCCCCCCCCCCCCCAGGTCACATCACAAATTAACTCAGTTGAGAGATCAGGATGTGTGAAGGGAGACAGAACCCTTTATTTTATTTGGGGAATGTTTAAAACAACCATACACAATTTGAACAGAACAAATACAACATAACCATTTGTTCCCTAGTTTTTAGCATTCTAGTATTTACAGGTTTCATAAGGCACTGGTTCCCAAAAAAGAACACAAAGTAGTGTCAAATCTTTACATTGGATTATGCTAGAGGCTTCTCCTCCTCAAAGTTTTATGGAATTTGAGTCTGCATTTTGTCAATCTATGCATGTTCATAAATAAATATTAGTTTCATTTATTTAGTGCTTTAATCATCCATCAATCCACATACTATATATCATATAAACCTGAACATCTTGACCTACCAACTTGTCCCTCAATCTCTTCCTCTTATACAGCAGTTTCACTCACCAGTGTGGTCTCTCTGGTAAATGAGGCACAGTTTCTTCTGATTTTTCTTTAAATGTAACAATATAGGGCTTTTCTTCTAACCATAAGGTTCATTTTCATAAAATTTAAAGCAGTATCTTTTAGACAATCAAAAAATAAAATCATGGGCTTTCACAGAAAGCAACATCTATAAGAATCTTGAACCAGTTACTGAAATGGTATTTTCCTTTTCCCATGCAAACAAGTCTTGTCTGATCTATCTTGTGTGTCAAAGGCTGCTCTCCTCAAAAGATGTTAGTTAAAATCAAATCTACAGTTGTTCTGAAATGAAATGAGGGATGGTGAGGGCTTCCTTCTAGATTCCTCTGACCACAAGAGAAAGTCATTTCATTTGTTGAGTTGAATCAAAGTTTAATGTCCTGTGACTCTGACATTTTGGCAAGTGTTTTCTTTACTCGCAGGGCTGTGAGCCTAGAAGCAGGGTTTTGAGCCCAACACTCTGTCATGAGTTTTCCCATTTGTCTTAGGCACTGTGTAAAGAGAAAGAAAGAAAATGACTGCTGTTGATATGTGTCCTGACCAAAAAACTCAAGGATGTCAAATAGCATTACACTATACCTCATCACTGCTCCATCTATTGGGGAATGAGGGACGGAGCTTCTTGATGCACACAATCTCCCGCATGTCCTCGTAGGAGGGGTCAGTGGGCACAAGATCATGATATGGAAGCTGGTATTCTTCAACTATTCCTGAAAGAAACATTTCCCAAATTTCAGGTGAGATTCAGAAGATAATCATATGGTCCAGGAGTCATGTCTGGCTCAGCACTGCCAATGTTTACACCCAGGTTAGTTCTTACCTCCTGACACACATCTCCTTGCTACCTCCCAAAGGATGAGTCCAAAACTGTACATATCAGCCATGATATATGACTGGAAGTGATTCCTATTCAAGCTTTCATCCAGCACCTCAGGAGGCATATAGCGCTTTGTTCCTACCCGGGTGTTTGGTGGTATGTCCACCTCATTTGTATCACTAAAAAGAGGAAGAATCAAACATACAAAAAAAGTAGCTTGAAAATAATGCATAATCTTAATGGAACAATTCTTACATAAGACTCAATTAAATATTGTGGAGATTTTATGCATAAATAATAAAAAATATAGACACCTTTGACAATTAGTTTTCAGTTCTAGATGTTAGATGTGTCATTGTGGTAAACATTTACAGTGATACCTTACATTTAAATACCAAACAGCTATTTATAAACATATATAATATACCTGCCCCTAGCAATGATACTAACAAGCCTGGCGTCAGGAAAGTTTACTCACCTAATAAATTTGACTGCCAAGCCCAGGTCTGCTATACAGCAGGTTCCATTCTTTTTCACTAGAATGTTCTTACTTTTCAGATCACGGTGGGCAATAGCTGGTTTGCCTTGAGTACTGAAGATCTCAGTGTGCAAGTGGCACAAACCACTAACAGAGGAATAGGCCAGTTTTAGCATGGCTTTTGAATCTAAGGTAGTGGATTTCAGATAATCATACAGGGAGCCATTCTCATGGTAGTCTGTGATAAGATACAGTTGGGTCCAAGACCCTGTACCTTTAATGTCCGCAGCAATGAACCCTATGGGGGAAAATATTTTCAGATTAATATTTTTCGGGGCTTTTGAACACCACACACGAATTAAGAATATTGTGGATTATACTGCATGAAAAAATACTCTGAGTGATTATATGGCTATATTAAAAACAGCTCATGCTAAAGTTTATCAATGCTTTCTGTCTGATCCCCAGATTAAGGGTTAAATTGTGATCAAGAGGGGGAGGGAAGGTCACAAAAAAACCCACCCCGCTTTGTCCTTTGCTTGTGCAATGGAAGAATCACACAAACACCCAGCAGCCACAAGAGAGAGACACCTCCTCCTAGTATAGTGTGGCCCCACATCACCCCCTAAATTCAGTGGCCTGGAGTTTACTTTCTTTAAAAAAAAAATCAGCAAATATGAAGTTATTAGTAAGAATAACTAAGAAACTTAAAACCGTATCATCTCTATCTTTTATTTCACTCACTTACCCAAAATGTTTTCATGCCTCATCAGGACAGTCTGATAGATTTCTGTCTCTCTGAACCAGCTGGCCTCCTCAGTGGTGAAGAACACTTTTACAGCTACCTTTTCTCCACGCCACTTTCCCATCCAAACTTCTCCATAGCGACCTTTACCTATTTGTTTCACCATCTGAATCTGCTTTGCTATAGTCCTTTGGACCTGTTAAATCCCAAGAAATGCAGTTTAATTACTTTGTCTATGTCCTCTCATGCTAAAAAACAGCCTTGTTTAAGAATCAAGGCTGGGATTTTCAGAAGTGCCTTTCAAAAATCCTACCCCCAGTGCAGGAGTTAGGAGGCCTAGGTGGCTACACATGTATCATTATTATTCATAAATAGTTATATTTTAGGAGCACAGCTTATTTGCTTTGCTCTGAATAAAAGCTAGATTCAAAGCACCAGTTGACATATACCAGAAGTTTAGTGCAGCCAACAGCATTGCAGAGTAATCTCTGATGGGGATGACAGATCAGACACAGAGTTAATACACAAAACTAAACCTGTTATGACTAAAAAATCTACCTTGGGCAAACCTACAAATGCATGGATGTTCATAGTTGAGGAGCTAATCAACCTCTATTTCCCAGTCACAAGATAGTACAATAGAATATTGAAATAGCAACCGCTTGTGCCTCAGTATTACCTGTTCAATCCTGAGCTGAAAGTATGATATTTTAAAACAAAAAATTTTAATTGAGTCCAATGCAGTTGCATCTTCCTATATTAGACCTTGGTCATTAGTTATTATTTTCTAGATTATAAAACTGTCATGAAATTCAATGCACTCAAATAGCAGTGTTATCTGAATGCTTAATGAGTTACATTAATTCAATGTCCTCCCAAAACATTCTGATGAACAAGGCTGTCGTTTTCTCTGAAACTGACCGGAATTGTTAAACTATTTTTAAATTGCCTAAAATGGAAAAAACAGCCTGAGTATGTATTATCACACCATCAGATGGTGGCTTCAGTGGTTATTTTGACTTACGCCAGTGCAAGCCAAATTCGCCTTTATACTTTGAAGTAATGATTGAACAGTTCTATTACACTGGAATTTTTGTAATGTAATGTTAGCATGGTTGCTTTCCAATTTGCCTACTTTAAAGAATGCATCCTGAAAAATAATGGAATTACATCAAATAACTTAATTTGTGTAAATATATGTAATGGCATCATAAAGCACATGCAATTACAATATTTAATGATGAAAAGTTCCTTATTAAATTATATTAAGAAAATGAAAATCACATTTCTGTTATGAGTTTTCAAAAGGCAGAATACTACATGGAAGACCTTAATTGGTTTCTTCCTGCTAGAGCTGGTCAAACTATTTATTGTGTTCAATTTATTTTATTTGACAAACATTTTTGTGTTATGGATTGACTGTAAACTGTTCACAGCAAACAATCCATTAATTTTTCAATATTTGTATTTTTCTACACAAACATTGACATTGGTCAGCTAAAGGAATAGGGCATTTTGCTTCTCTTCTCTGACAGGATGAGCTAAACATTTACAAACTACTTCCACTGTTGCTTGAATAGAATTTTGTTTTGTCACAAAAGGGGTTTTGCTTCTGAAATGGAAATATCTCGGCTAAAGGCACAAAACTTGCTGTCTGACGACACATATTTATGTGTCTAATGTGGCAAACTGCACACGCTGGTGAAACAACTCTACCTTCTTATACCTTGAAAACGGCTTGGTTCTGTGCTTTTGGCCTTGGTTTTGCAGCTGCTTGGAGGCCCACTGAGGTAAATGGAGCCTGGATGCAGAGATTTGCTTGTGCAACCCAGCTTGCAGTGTAGGAATGGTTATTTACAACGCTTCAGCAGGGCTTAGAAGTTGAATAGCAACATTCAACCTGCAGCAAACTTCTATGCTAGAGATACAATCACCTAAAAAAACGACCCAACAGCTCACAGTGGTTTATACTCTAGAATAGCAACATTTACACTACCTTAAATATATGGGCATGACTAAGAGCCACCAGATAATTATGAATAATACAAATACATTTGAGAGAGAAAATGAACAAGGTTGAATGTCAGAGTAACGACACTATCCTGGTTTGCTTTCTCTGAAACAACTTTAAATGTTCTATATTGGAAATAAATAATAAAGAAGCTGGAAATAAACACTTTTAAAATGAAGGGTAGTGGTTTTCACCACACATTATTGTACATATTTGCCCTCTTGGACAATAAGTATCAATCCATGCACTTCTAAGCTGCGTATTGCTGTGGTAACTACCCGACAAACACAGCAAACGTATATTATTATATTCACCATAGCACGGTCTTATAATTTTCGTAGAAAATCACTGTTTGAGGAAAATCTGTTTATGACTTTTTAGTTAGGCAAAGGGGCAGGAGGAATCACAGTTGGGACAGAAAAGAGTACAAATGTCTCCTTTACTGAAGTACACTCTCTCAGCAGCAGATCCTGCAGTCTGCTGAAGAGAGTGGGGCTCATGCTGCCAGTGGGATCATAGGACCTGGACAGTTTGATGATGGAGCGCAGCAGCCCATCTGCTTAACAATCTGGGTTGCTGTGAACACATTTTTACAGTCTTTGTCCTGTTTTCCTACTCCCTCCATGGAAATGCCCTTGGCTACCTGAGAGATTGCCTCTCTCATGCAATGGCCATGATCTACCTTGACAGCTATGTTTCACTGGAACAACGAAAATGCTGGTCAATATGGGGAGGTTTGTGAGAGAGGCAGACAGGGCTGGATCTACACATTGGTGCTCACGCCCACGTCCAGTAAGAATAACTACAGACTTTGCCACTTTTGGAATCAATTGCAAAGCTCATTCTTCTGCTTATCTGTCCCTCAATGGCCATGTTGACATTTGGAAAACTGGCTGTTTCTCAAAACATATTTAGCTAACATATTTTAACGAATATGATTTTAAACAGAACTTTGCAGCTACTAGGTACAGGACCGATGTATAACTTCTCAGCTATGCATTTGGAAAATGATAAAGAAAAGGAAAATAAATAAATAGTTTTAAAAGGTAGTATTTAAAATAAGTATCTTGAGTCTTCTGCAATGCCATGATGTGCGGGAGGTCCAAGGTTATCAGAAAACTAAAACACAGATGAATGGAAAAGCCATGAGCTTTACTCTGAAATATAAACCTTCTAGCTGAAACTGAGCCTTCTTTAGTACATAGGTTCTTGGGTCTCAGTCACAGTTACATTTGAGACAACTTATAAATGTTATACTCCATTCAGCGGGCACACCTTCAACCTACGACACCGTTGAAGCGCAAAATACAGTGATTCTATTCTTAGCTTTTTAATGCTAAGTGAAGCCAAGGTGTAAAAGGATTCCATTTAACCATCCTGTCTCTAAAAATGATATAACTGTGTGTACCTGACATCAAATTCAGATCCCGGTACATGAAATAAAGAGCTCTGATTCTTAAGTATTTATTCTCCAACTGATATCCTTGTCATTTCTGCAGACACTGAGAACCTAATTCTTCCTTCACATACTAACGTAATTCTTATTAAATCCCCTTGAATTTTTATGCTGGTGTCTTTGCCTTATAGAGTTCTGTGTGAATCTAAATTACATTCCTTTCTTACCAGCAGAGGGAGCCCAGACCCACTTCCTGAGCTCTGAGACTGTTCAATCAAGTCTTTCAGGGATTCCCCTGGAGGAATGTAAGTCTCATCCTGTTCAAGTCCAATGCTGTAACGAGGTCTGGTTTCTTGCCTTTTATGCCTATGATTTTAGTGAAAATTAAATTAGTTGACAGTACAATGAGGATGCTATGTAGAAGACTCATCAATGACTATTTTTCTGATCTATTCGCAACATTAGAACGCGTTAGGTCTGACTATCATCCTGCTGGGGAATCCGGCATAATTTTGCATAGCCAAGTACCAACTTTAAACCCCTAATTCAGAGAATAGTCCTAAAAACAGAGATGCAGCAAATACCTCACCTTTTTGTTTGTGGGTCTTTTATGACCAAAGGCATTTTTATGAATTTGCCTGTTTTCTGAATCAATCTCCTTCTTTGGGTATAGTTTGTGAATTTGTGTGCACTGTGTTAATAGGCTTATGAGCTTTACTTTATTTACTATACAGTGTCTTTACACCATTATTTCCCACTGGAAATCTTTTTAGGACATACTTTCTATGAAGGATGCTATACAAAAGACCAACTATATTATAGGGCATTATACTGATGCCTTTGTGATTTTAACATTAGCAAAATATTCAATTTTTCCCTATAATAAAAACAAAGTTTTTTTAATTGTTCCCCAATTCCCTCCTGTTATGTTTTTATTTTACAGTTCATAAGCCAGGGGGAAAAAAGTGATGTTGGGAAGAAATGTGAAGCAGACAAAGTTTAAATTCTTCCGACTTACCTGAAGTAACAGAATATGATGATGAGTACCAGGAGTATACTGCAAACAGTCACTGAGATCAGCAAGGCCTTATGGTGAATGTTTCCTTCAACAAAATCTGGTTTAAAGATTAAAAAAAAAGCTTTGTACAATGGCTGTATTTTTGTCTTAGGAGTCAACACTACTCTCTCACACCTGAAATGTCTTTCACATTAGGTTGGGTGTAAAATACATTCTGCCTTCCTGGATTTAGTTTCACATGTAAAAAGACATACAAGAGTTTATAAATATATTAAGCAACAGAATCGTTCCCTTTCTTTTCTACTGAAACATTGTGTAATGTATCACTTGATTTCAGAGCCATTTTACGTGCTCCTTCTTTAGCCCTCATCCAACAGGGCAAACATAGCACATGGAACAGCAATCGAGGGCCTAACTGATCCTGCAGCCTTTACTCAGACAAAGCTCTCACTGGTAACACTGGCGCTTTTGACTGAGTTTGCAAGGGAGTATTTAGCCCTTCATGACCAATCCACTAACCCCCACCGCCTCAAACCTGGGATTTTTACATCTCTTGTCAGCCAGGACACAGACTAGTTCATTAACAAAAGCAATTAATATACCCAACTGTATCTATCCAGGCAGAGAAGTCATACAAGGGATGTCTAATCCCTGCTAAAGTCCTTAGAGTTATATTTACATCAATTTAAGGATCCCTCTCTCTCTCACAGCACTCTAGCAGCAAAAATTGTGTGTTTTTTATTCTTGCACTTGTGGAAAAATGTGTCATTGCACATTACCAAGCAACATGTAAGAATTGTGATTATATAAAAATAACTGAAAAGTTTGGATTAATCCTTGCACGCTATACCCATTTTCTGCTCTAAAATTTAGCTGTCATCTCCACATTTGTATCCTCATTCCAAACACACGTGTTGGACCGTCATGCATATTCTCATGCTGAAAACTGAAGAAATCCCGCACCATCTTCTTTTAAAACTACAGAGTCTCAAAACTGTGATACGTTAGCACACTCCCCACCCCCAGCCTGGTGTTCACTCTTATGCAGATAAGCCCTCACCATCTGATTGTCTTGCATCTTCCACACAAATGCTGAACACACAGTAAACTGTGAGAATTCTATCCTTATTGACTCATCCTGGAATAACACTATTATGTTTCAGATTTACTAGGGTAATGAGACAAGGAGGATCCTCGGGGAATCTTGGCTTACTGTCATGCACTTTTATTTTAAAGATCCAGTTCCCTCTTCCATCTTTGCTTCCAACTATTTCCTTCCCTCCCCTTCCCATCATGAACAGAAATTACCTACCATTATCTGCCTTGTGAGCACATTGGTCATGTTTTAACCTGACATTACCTGCTCCTGGAGCATTAACAATGTAAACATTCAAGCCATGGCCATCGCCTTTGAAAGGAGACACTGACACAGGGCCTATCAAGAAAAAACTAGAGCGCATCATTCTCATCGGAGCAGCAGATTTCTACCTGGACTGTCGCTCTAAGTGTGCCGGGAGCTGAAACTGAGAACCCTCGGGGGAGTCCAGTTCTCTCTGTGAAAGAGGTGACAGTTCAGGGGGGCCAAGATTCTATTTCATGGTTTATTAGCAGTCTATGTCTGCCAGTCATTATCCTCTAAAATGTGTGGTTTGTAACAGTTTAAGATGTCACTGCCTATTAGCCCAGGAGAGGCTAAACACAGTATGCAGACTACAGGGGGAGAATTCTTCATACTCTGGAGAATACGGAAATAAGTTTGCAGCAAGGGGTTTCTGGTTTCATAGAACATGTTACAATAAAAACCGGGCCGGCTGTTTTAGTGCTTCTTTAGCACGACGAGTGTTGAGTGCCACACATACAGGGCTCAGTTCTGATCTTGCTTACACCAGAGTAAACCAAGAAGTGACTCTATTCAGGTAAATGGAGTTACACCCATCAGAAACTGTAATGAGCTCACAATTAAACTCCCTCCTCTTTAATATTATAAATGGATTATGTGTATAAAGCTGTATACAAATAAAATGGAATAAAGAACACTGAAAATGATTCTGCAAAGAAGAGTGGCTAGATTTCTATACACTATGGCCAACATTTCCAAACTTGGGTACCCAAAATCCCTGTTTAGGCACTTGCATAAAAGTGCTGAGCATCCTGAACTTTTACAGAAGTTAAAAGGAGCTGCAAGTGCTCTGCAACTCTGAAAATAAGGGGCCCAACTTTAGAAAGCCACACTGGAAAATTCTGATTTACATTTTTTCTGTGATCAAAGGCATTTGTGTGGGAAGAAAAAAAATCCCAGAAAGCACTTAAAGATAAAAGGGAATCTAGGTGTGAAAGACAAGTTCTGCATTTTAGCCTACAAAATTGAGGGAGGCTGAACTAGTTAGTGATGATGAAAGTTATTACCTTAGATCAGAAGGTTGTTTCTAAAACAATATTACACACGGCTTTATTAAAGATGCACCAGGCACACAGTAGGCACGAAATTGGCCCCAAGACGAAAGGAAGGCAACACATCTTTCTGGAGTCCTTTATGTTTACCAACATGTTATGCAAGGCAGTAATGCTGGAGAATGAGTGCGTTATCTGCCCAGAATTCAGACATGTTTTCAAATTACTCTGGAGGGATTTAGCTTGTTTGCTCATTTGGGGGTTTTGGAAACCAGTCAACGTATGTTCATCAAAATGTAAAGAAAAAATGCTCAGAATTCTTTATTTTTAAATGTCAGAGAATAATCATCAATGGCTCTCTGTCAAACTGGGAAGACATATCTAGCGATGACCCACAGCGGTCAATCCTGGGTCTGATACTATTCAATATTTTCATTAATGAATTGGATAATGAAGTGGGGAGTACACTTATAACATTTGTGGATGACACCAAGCTGGGATGCAAGCACTTTGGAGGGCGCAATTAGAATTCAAAACAACCCTGACATATTGGAGATTTGTTCGGGGGGGGAGGAAGGAATCAATAAAGACAAGTGCAAAGTACTTCACTTAAAAAGGAAAGATCTAATGCACAACTGCAAAATGGGGAATAACTGGCTATGTGGTAGTATTGCTAAAAAGGATCTGGGGTTACTGTGGATCAGAAATTAAATATGAGTCAATAATGTGATGCAGTTGTGAAAAAGCCTAATGTCATTTTGGGGTGTATATAAGACGTGGGAGGTAACTGTCCCGCTCTACTCGGCACTGGGGAGGCCGCAGCTGGAGTACTGTGTCCAGTTCTGGGTGCCACACTTAAGGAAAGATGCGGACAAATTGCAAAGAGTCCAGAGGAGAGCAACAAGAATGATAAAAGGTTTAGAAAACCTGACCTAGGAGTAAAGGTTAAAATACGTTAAGGGCTCTTAAAAAGAGGACAGTGATCATTGTTCTCTGTGTCCACTGAAAGTAAAACAAGAAGGGATGAGCTTAATCTGCAGCAAGGGAGATTTAGGTTAGATATTAGGAAAACATTTCTAACTATAAGGGTAGTGAAGCTCTGAAACTGCCTTCCAAGGCAGGATGTGGAATCCCCCTCACTGAAGATTTTTAAGAACAGGTTGGACAAACACCTGTCAAGGATGATTTAGGGTTACTTGGTCCTGCCTGAGCACAGGAGGCATCTCACGAGGTCCCTTCCAGCCCTATATTTCTAGGATACAATTTAGGCTGGTGAAAAGTACCAGACTGACTTCCCCTGGACACTGACGTCCTCCCTTTGTCCACAGACCAGGTGCTGCATACAAAGCAGCCATGCAAACTTCTCCATCTGCCTCAGTGCAACCCTGGTGGGGCTATTTCCTGGGGATGGCAAAGAGGCAGGTGGTTCAGTCTTCAAACTTATTCAATCCCTGGCCTCTCAGCTGCGATTGAAAAAGGTGCCAATTTGCACTAATTTTTGTGATATGGGAATTGGACTTAGACCCAGTGCTTCCTAATGTTTTATAAGTTATCAACTGCAGCCAAACCAAGCTGTGAGGTTATGAAAGTAAGCAGGATTTTATTATTTTTTTAGAAGACCGCAGTGAGTTATTATGTGAGGGATATGTAATAAACAAGCAATACATTACTGAAGCTCTTCTATATACTCTGGCTGAATGGGAGTTTTAGCCATTGTCCAATGCCCAGCATGCAAGGAGTACACTTTATAAGAAAATACACAGTGATGTTATTTCTAGACACCACACAGGGGTGTCATGGTTGTCTTCAGTACAGGGAGGGAGAGATGATAACAGAAGAAACAAGTTAAGAAACAGTTTCTCTAGAAACTATCTTCAGTAAGACTCAAGAGCCTTTCGGACAGTTCTAGTGCTTCCCTCCAGCCCCATCTCACTTTGTCATGTACGGCACTCTGCTGAAACGTGTATTTGAAACTCAGCAAAATGGGTTTCGTGTGGAGTCAGCATATCAGATGCACAGAAGATTCTCCTGCTTCCCCAGTTTCTTCCAGTTCACAGTGTTCATATTATCTGGGTAAAAACTGCAGTGAAATCTGAGGCTTGGAGACTTGTGTGCACACATCAGACCCCATCATCATTCCTCCAATCATTCCCGTGCCCATTCATCACTAGCTCTACAGGCAGGGAGCCAGACATGGTGGCACCACCACTTCTGCTTATAAAGGCTTTAAATCAGTAAAGACATATTTGTTCTCATCTGCTTTCAGTCTGCACTTTCATTGGGATTTCCTGTAATATTTTTATTGTTTAAAAGAGAGGTGTCCTTTCAGCCATGATTATTATTTTCATTTCCTTAATAAGGCGGCTGCATGACTAGCAAGGGGACTCCATGTTATCTCCAGGGTATTTTTATTCTACTAGTACTGCAGGATGCACCAGAACACTGTCCAGAAATGGATTTAGCTGCTGTTATGTTTTTCCTTCCTGCTTGACACAAAGATAGTTCTCTGGCTTGATTTTAATTCTTCTGTCTGATATTTTCATATATCTGCTGCTTCATTCTGTTCCTGGTTAAAGAGTGAGTCCCTTTCAGGAAATGCTAGGTATGGAGAAACACTTTCAGAACACAAATTGCACGCATCTGTAGATGATAATTCTGTGCATGGGTTAATTTCTAGCTAGCAACCTTTGACCTACGGCTGAAGGACCTCCCCAGACCTTGGTTTCCCTTGAGATCTGACCTTGGTCAAAAGTTCCTGATCAGGAACATACTTTTTTGTATGTTTTAAAATACCAAACAACCTACATTTTTGCATCCACTCCAGTGGAGTTTTTGTTTCAACAAGTCCATTTTTAATTTTAGTTATTTATTTTAACATCACTGTTTATGTTAAATCCTGATAATTCTGAGAGTCACTGCAGCACATTTAAAAACAATCCAAGACAGGAAGAATGGCTATTAACACAGAACCCGTCAACCGTTATATATTAGCTGCATGTACTTGGATATGGCTAGTGGGAGAATTCACAGTCTAAATTGCTGCCCTTTTGGTGAGTGTTCAGATTGTGATAGAGCAGTGGCAAACTACCCTGGCTTATGGCACCAAGGATCACAGCTGACCATACAGCTTTCAAAAAGGGGCTGGCTTTGGTGCTGTTTCACAGCTACAGACCAAAGAGCCACATTATCTGAAGCAGGCTCTAAAATTACAGCCACAATTTGCTATTTAGCTACTAGTGTTGGAGGAATTACGTTAAATGAACATACTGCCATTTGTTTCTCAAACAGCAAATTAAACAACTAGTTTTGCCGTATTCAAACAGCTCAAAAACTATTCATCTAATAATGTATTCAAAAATATTCTCTCTGCTATTTGGTGTTTATTCATCTTAGCTATCTGTCACCTTAGTACTTCAGTGTCCTCTGCCCCCACAAAAAAAAGAAGAAGAAAATTTGGCATTAGCAAAAGAGCTTGAGTTTTTGCATAAACAGTAGATAGATATCTGACTATGCTAACTACCTGATTTTTACATTTCCATCCAGTTTAGGCTGGAATGGCAAATGTAATATAAAACCAAGGAAACGGACAAGTTAGATCAAGGTTGCCCCGTTTTGAATCTGCAGGGTTTAATTCAACCAGTGTGTGTGGGAAAAATCATCCAAAATCAAATTATATTATTAATATACTATACAAACATACAAACGTACTTACTTGGGGGATTTTCTCTCTGTCCAAGTAACTTTTTTTCTCTTAATAAAGACCAACAAAATTACAGAGCTCTTATGTTGGGAGTCAGAATTTTATGAGGTTTCAGTGATCTCATGGCTCACCAGTCAATGCTGAATTATTTTACATATTGCATTCTATGGGCCCAATCCTGTAGCCCTGCTGTGCAGAATCTCAATTAAGTAAGCCCTTATATAAGTAAGGACTGCAGGAATAGTCCTTTCTATATGCATGTGTGGGGGGTGTGTGCGCGTAAGTAATTAACTAAGTAATAAGACTATATCTATGTGTTTAGACTGAGATTTACTGTTCAACGCTACGGTCCAAATTTTGTTCTCAGCTTTAAATGAGCAACACCAAAAAAATTGGAAACTCTGTCTCCTAGGACCAAATTTATTGCTGACCACACAAGTCCTGCACAGCAGCTATGCCAATGTCTATACATGTCATACTTACCCAGGAACTGCTGTATTTTAAAAATAAAAATATTGTATAACTTCCAACCAAATCTGGAAATGCATTTGTGCAGAGTGTTACTCTATTGTTTGTTCTATACCTCTGAAACACAGAGTTCATGGTAACGCCTAGACCTTATTCTCTGAGGGCCAGATTATCAGCGGCTATAAATCGTCATTAGTTCCACTGGCTTCAGTGGAACTACGCTGATTTATAGCAGCTGAGGATCTGGTCCCAAGTGTCGTTCTGAAATTGTTACGTAGCTACAAACTACAATCTTTTGCAACGACAGAGGGCACTCATTATTGTTATTTTATATTTGTATGGCATGAGCACCTAGAGGCCTCAATAAGTCAACCCCACCCCCCCACCCCATGTTAAGCACTGTACAAACAAAGTAAGAGATAATCCCTGCCTCAGCCTAACCTAGACTGTGAGCTCCTTGGAGCAGGCACTGTTATTTTACTACACACAGCACCTCGTGCAATGGGTCTCTGATCCTTGACTGATGCCTGTAGGCATGATGGGAATACAAATAGAGGTAAATACCAAGTAGATACTGTTTCCGTATATTACCAGAACATCTACGGGATACAAAAAAAAATGTTTTTCCATGCAGCTCATCTAATTCTCTTTTCTTTTCTAGGAAAAATACAGGCATCTACTGATTTAAGGCTAGATTTTCTTCCTCCTCTTACCTCTATTTTTTAGTGGTGGCAGCGTAGGGTGAAGGTTTTCATTACAGAAATCTTCGTCTGTGCAGCATGCAATAGTTCTTCTGTGATGTATTATGGGTGTATCCTGCAACAGAGAAATTCACAGAGAACTGTGTGAGCAACTTTGTTCTTTTCAACAGACACTGTTGTTTGGGCGCTGGAGAAGGAGACAGACCTGACATGGTAAACAGCATCACAACCAGTGAAGGATTTCAAATATGACTGCAATAAGGATTTGGGCCACCCTAATAAAGCCATTTAAACATTAAAGAACAAATTCATCCCTTGTGAAATTTCACTGAAGTCATTACAATTATACAAAGACGTATTTGGCCGTAACAGCATACGGGAGAGCTGTGAGAGAACGTGTGCGTTAGTGTTACATTATTCAAGCGTTCCATTTGAATTTTGGGGCAGATAGATTTCACGTTTATGTACAATGAGACTGAGGGCCTGATCCTCTGTCCCACTTTCCAGAGCAAAGCAGACAGAATTTTGCCCCAAGGCCAAGATTTCCAGAAACAGATGCCTAACGTCAGGCCTGAATTCAACAGAGACTTTAGGATGATCAGCATTTTGGAAAATCTGGCTACTTATTTAGTAAGCACTCAGAAGCCTCATTTTAGACTCCTATTTTTGAAAATCTTGGCTTTAGCGCATGATTCCCTTCATGTAGGGGAATACTCAGTCGGCTTAAAGCCAATGTAATCAACTCTGTCATCTATTCCCCCCAGCGAAATAGATTTGTGAAGGGTATGAAGAGGGAGCAGGAGGGGACAGAACACAGTGCACTATACTTTGGAGATATTTACTGGAATAATGGCTCCTGTGAGTTTATTACAAGCAGGTGAAAATAAGAGCAACCCTTAGCCTGCTCTAACTTGAACCAATAGCTGGTTTGGTCCCTGGACAGGCCCAGATTTGGGTGTGGGAGCAGAAAGATTACTTAGGGTACATCTACACTGCAAACAAACAAACAAATGTGTCAGCCAGTCTCAGAGCCCGGGTCAACTGACTTGGGCTCACACTACAGGACTAAAAATAGCAACGTAGATGTTCCTGCTTGGGCTGAAGCCTGGGCTCTGAAATCCAGCAAGGGGTAGAGTATCAATGCCTGGACTCCAGCCTGAGCAGGAGTGTCTACACTGCTATTCTTACCCTGTACCCTTATTCAACACCCTGTAGCAAGAGCCTAAGTCAGTTGACCCAGGCTCTGAGAATCGCTGCCATGGTTGTGGTCTTTTCTTGTTTTATTTTGCAGTGTAGATGTACTCAGAGTCATCTTCATTCCACCTGCTGTCCTCCCTCCACCGTCATGCTGAGCTTTGCACAGAACAGCTGGGGATTTAACCCCGAGTGATTTCTCTGTGTTAAACATGCAAGCACAAAAGAGAATTGCTGTGTAGGGTGAGACGTTGATTGCAGTACATGAAATGGAAAAACATTTCTCTCCCTGGAACTATACTGCCTTCATAGAGGTGGATCCCCACATTTACTGGCTGAATGACTGTCTACACATACAGGACTCACGTTACACATCAGTGCTATGTAACAACTTCTAGTGTGAAAACAGCAACTTTTTTACGGCACACTACTACGCAGCACACAGCAGTATAGGAAAGGAAGTAAAGAATGTCTTACCTAATTCAAGCTGCAGGGGGAATTTAGAGAATCAGAATGTAATTACCCGAGTGGTAGTTTCACCAGGAAAGCAGGGGCTAATATTAATTAACTAGCAACATGGTGTGCTTTAAGAAGTAGCAAGAGTTTTGGGGAGTAGATGCCATTTCCTCAGCATTCAGTGCAGAGGGCACATCTCCCACGTGATCAAAATTTAAAGCAGCAGATGTATGCCTTTATCCTGCCTACAGTGCAGCTGAATGAAAACTATCACAATAGCCAGACCAAACCTTGATCATAACTCTTTTCTTACCCGGCATTGGAAGTCTGAGCCTTCTAAGCCTAGGCATCCTGAAGCAATTGTCCGTCCTCCAAATTCATCTTCTTCTACCATGGTGAAACAGTAGCCATCAGTCCTGAAGATTGGAAAGAGCGAAGCAGAATTAGTTTTTAAAATGAGAGCTTTGCTATTAGATATGCTGTGTCCCACAAACATACAGTTGATAAATCAACACACTTTGAACAGCAATGTAACAAAATGCAGATGACTAAACTATTATCGCATATGTAAAATCTTATTTATTTACACAGCGTTATTTCAACATACAAAACAAACGAATGCTTCTCCCAGGCTCTTGGCACCCACATATAGTTAAAATTAAATCCAACAAAGACAGACAGCAATCACAAACCGATAACTTTTCTTCAAACAAAAGAAGCCAGTCCACAAGCTGACATTTTCACACAAAACTCTAACCCCCATAATTAAAAATCTTCACCCAAGGCCCATCCCCTCTGCACAAATGTCTATCCCAGTGTTTCTCAACCCCTGGCCTGCAGGCCGCTTGCGGCCCAATCAGCACACAGCTGCGACCCATGTGATATCCTCAGGGCCATAGAGGTAGTATAATATATTGTGAGAATATGGCCAACATAACACATAGAGAGCTGCATATCCGGCCCACAGTGGTAAATAGGTTGAGAACCACTGGTCTATCCTAATAGATGGGTCTCCAATGATGCAAAGCCTATCTTAGTAAAAGCATCAGAGCTAAAGCAGGTCCACTTGTGCATGCACACACTGTACAGATATTTGCTCTGTGGTGCAGACCTGAAGAGGCCAGCGTCATTGAGATAATGACCGTGAAACACTATTAAGAGTGATTTGTGGTCCTTACTTTAACCATATTACAAACTGCAACACTCTGTTGCGGATGAGTTCTTGAGTTATCATCAACATCCTTCATAACTGTTTACTTGGGTTATAAGCCTAAAGTGATCCATAATACTTCAGTTTACAAGAACATGTACAACAGAGGACAAGTATACTAACAGACGGCTAGATGGTGCTGGTGATAAATGTTCTTCCCTAATGAAGGTCAAATACATGAATGTTATCAGGGAAACAAAAAGAGTGCCTGCATCTGACTGAAAATCTTCGCTGATAATTTTTCATCACTTTCTGGGGACTCACTATCGATCAAAAGGAATGAAAACTGTCTTGATCGTAAGAAATAAAACGAATAATAAAAAAGAAATAGCCCCTTATCCTCAAACAATCAAGTCATATAGCAATAAAATGTTTTATTAACCTCTTATTTTCTTTCTAATATTTATGTTTAGTAGATACTTTCACAACAAAAGAACAAATGAAGAAGCACAATAAAAGGGAAACAGATAAAAGAAGAAACTAAATGGATTTACAAGGCTTAAATAAAGCAGAATTTCAGATAAATTATTTTACTTTTACTTCACAGAAAGGAAAACCTAACAAAACAAACAAATAAAACCACTAATGACAATAAAGAAGCTGTAGGAAAAGGGGAACATTCCGTTACACACTGAATGCATAAATACAATTTGGAAATATTCGCTGTGGCACAGAAGGACGCCGGATAGGAAAACACCAAACGTTTGCTGCGGCACGTATTTAAATTAACTATGTGAAATCTAGTCAGAGCAAGCTTGTTTCATAGTTACTTTCAATAACAAGTCAAGTTACTAACTTGTGGATCTGAAAAGTAACCAGTTGCACACTACAGATTACTTTCTCATAGAAGCGCACAATTTACTTTTATACTACTTAGATATTGTGCATGAGAGTAAGTAAGGAAGACAACAACCCTTTTGGGTAACAACTCCCATGACTTCATTACTCAGTCTCAGGATAGGAATGATAGGATTGCCAAGAAAAGAGACCGAAAGGAATCCATTAGAGTACAATATTATATTAGACTACATTTTATTTGTTTACATGGCGCCTTCGATTCAAAGCAATGAGTAAGGGTAACTGAGGGACACAGTAACAAAACAATAAATTGCAATCAACTGAAAAACAAAAAAAGTCAACAAATGATGGTCTCTAATAAAGTCAATATACAAAAGGAGGAGAAAGAAAAGAATCATATTGTTAGAAGAGGTACTATTAAGAAGGGAAAGTGAAGCCACAGGAGGTTTTGGCATTCTAGTGACTTTCAACAGGACATAGACTCATAAATCACTTTTCAAAATGGGACATAGGCTCCTAAGTCACTTAAGTGCTTGTGAAAATTTTACTTTTGATGTAAAATGACAAAGCAAGTTAGATCATGGAAAGCAGAGGGTGAGAGAGCTCAAAAACGTTGAGGGATGGAGGAAATCATTCTTTTTGGAGACAGCAATAGAAGAATGTCTCACAAGCTTCAGACCATGATACAATGAATGAAGAATGTGGAATGAAATAAAAAGGGGAATGTTTTATTAGGAAAAATGAGATTTAAGAGGGAGAATTTTCAATGTAAAAGTTACCTTCACCCCTCGGAAAGCCTCCTAGAGATCTGGGCAAGAGAGTGGAAAAGAGAGTGTCTCCTAGAACTCCTGGAAGAGCTCTACTATGGTGGTGAGGAACAGATCCTCACAGGTCGAATATAACGCACTCTACATAGAGAGGAGTGCCTAGCACACTCCAGCTACACAATTCAGCCATGTCAGAAATTAAAATCTTTCCATCATTAAAAACAATCTGAACAAGCATGTACCACATCTATTATGCTGTAGTTCACTGCATATTACATATAAGTATGCATGAATAACAAAGAATGATGAATACAGGGGTCTCCTGTATACACTAGGGTTGTGTTCTTGAAAAGGGCAATGGATACCAAAATGATGTATACTGGGGAATTTTTCCCCATGAGAAATAATGGAATAAGAGGGGGATTAGTTCACAACTTCACCACATTCGCCTATGACAATGCTCTTTTCACGTAAACGGTGTACCTTTTTACACTGACAGGTTATACAGCACACATTTTACACACAAAACATTGAATAAAATAATGTAGAACACATAGAACATTTTAATACAGTAAATACAGTACAGTAGTACAGTATAAAACAATGTCAATTATGCTAAACTTAGATAGGGGTAGCGGCTGGGTTTTCTTGGGCTGGCTTTTCGGTCGCAGAAGTCTTTAAAAAGGATTTTATCGACGTCTGCTCTCCTGCATGACTCTTTGAATGATAGATCTCCCTGTAGCAAGCCACTGCATCACTGAGAGCCCTGGATACTTTGGCAGACCGTTCACGAAAAGGATCACCGCTCTGTATGATTTTTGTCATCTCATCTAGAAATCCAAAGAAACGGAACAGATTCTTTGTCGTCAGACTCCTGGCTTTCTGCCCTACGTCATCGTCATCATCGTCCTTGCTTTCTTCAAATATCCTTTGTTGGTCCAGCTGTCCAGCTCAATCAGTTCCTCATTTGTCAGTTGCTCAGTGTGAGACTCCAACAACTCATGTACATCATCTTCCTCCACCTCCTCAAAGCCAATATCCTTTGCCAACTTGACAATTTCTTGCTCGAGAGCAGAAATGGCATCAAATTCCATGAAGCTGTGGATAGTATCTGACATTGCACAGCGCAAAACGCCGTTCATACATTGCGAAGTGACCTCTTCCCACGACGCGTCAATGTTTTCCACGCTATTCAAGATGTTGTAGGACTTCCAAAACTCCTTTACACTGGGCTTTCCTTCACCTGCCGTCCCCTTAATCAGCACGGAGAATGTCCTCCGTAGGTAATAAGCCTTGAACGTGGCCAATACACCCAGGTCCATAGGCTGCAGCAACAATGTGGTGCTGTGTGGCAAAAATAGGACATTGACGTTTGGGCAGAGGGCTTCATAGTCCAGTTCGTGGACACTTGCGTTATCCAGCAGAAGGAGAATCTTAAAGGCCAAATTTTCCTTTTGACAGTAAGCCTTAAACTCAGGGACAGCATGGTCTACAAACGGAAAATATTGCGTGTCATCCAGGACTTTCTGTTCGACTTCCAAATTACAGGGAGATGAGACTTGACGTAGGCCCTCATTGCTCTTGGGTTTTCACTGTGGTAGACAGGCAAGGACTTCAGCTTATAATCACCTTCTGCATTTCCCCCAAGCAGAAGGGTTAAGTGGTCTTTTAAGGCTTTGAATCCAGAAGCAGTCTTCTTGTCATGAGAAATATAAGTCTTCGTTGGCATCTTCTTCCACTAAAGGCCCATCTCGTTGACATTAAAAACTTGTTTTGGAGAGTAGCCACCTTCCGAAACAATTGTTTTTAGCTGTGTACGAAACATTTCAGCTGCTTCTTCATCCGCACTAGCCACTTCTCCTGTGAGTTTTACATGATGTAGATTGGCATGCTTCTGAAATCTGTGGAATCACACATGACTAGCATGGAAGGTCTCCTTTTCTGCTGTTGAGCTCTCTCCCTCTCTTTCCTTTCAATCGTTATACAGGCTTTTGGCCTTCTCCTGAATCAAGGTTAAACTCACAGGTGTCTTCTTTTCAAGGAGGTCATCAATCCAATCAGCCAGCAAACATTCCATCTTCTCCATTGTACAGGGAGTCGTCAGACGCCACTTACAACGCTTTTCAATTGACTGCCCGTTACGATGAAAGCCGGCAGGGAGAACAGCACACATCACATGCTGAGCCTCAGCCAATCACTGATTTCACTGTTTGAGCTTTCTGATTGGCTCCTGGCCCCAGGCTCAGTCAATCAAAAACAAATGGCAAGGCTACCCAGCAACAAGCTACCCTGGCCGTGGAATCCAATCAGACAAGCAACCCCCCCATTCCACCTCCATTCTTTATAATGCAGTGCATCTGTGAATAGGGGCATATCCAACATGTGCATCTGCTACAGAGAAATTTACAAGGAGAAGAGGAGAACATCTGTCCGAACTTCTTTAAGATTGCAGAGAAACCTGCAGCCCAGACTTCAGCAAAGCCCCCAGCCAAGAGCCCTTCAAAAAGTTCTGGAAAGTCAAAGCATATGTGGCTTTTATTTTAATGCTGTTTACCAAATAAAGGCATTGATATTGCTACATTAGTCATCTATAATTCATTTAGTACAAAAATCTGGATTATTGTGGTGAAAATAGTGTATC